ATGGAGAGAAAATGTTTTGAGAAACGATGTACAAATGCGCTTTCCACAATTGATGTGTGTATGGATTGCGATAACAGTTGTATGAGCCCCTAATAAAATGTTAAAAAAACAAAAACAATGCTAAATATTTTATAGAATTTAAATATACATAACAACCCCTAAAATTCTCAAGCAACCTGAAACCAGTAAACCTAATTATGTTTAAAGAGCCCTGGTGGCATTGTCAGGTAAGCAGTAAACTGCTAACCTCAAGGGCAGGAGTTCAAAGCCACCAGCCACTAGAGACAGATGAGGCTGTCTGTTCCCATAAAAATTTGCAGCCTCTGAAACTCTTTATGGGGGTCATGATAAGTAGAAATCAACTGATGGCATGGACATTGGGTGTTTTGTTTTGTTTAACAGCAGTTCGACCCCCGGCTGCACCCAACAACAACAGCAATAAATCAGGTTGGAGGCACAGCCATAGAGCAAAAGGATTTAAAATACTTTGAAATACGGTATTTTGATTGTGCATGCCTATCCTAGAGACAAAGTGAACCACAAATAAGTTTTCAACTACATTCAGTAGACTTGCTATTGGTGATAATGTTAACAATTGCTATTTAGCAAGAATAATATATAGTGGAAGAAAGGAATTAGGTAAATCACTGTCAATAGAAGCCAAGATTCTCAGTGTAAGAGAAAAGAGATCCAAAGAAAATAAAAATTTAAGGTGAACACCTTGTAAACTTCCATTTGAATAGGAAACATCAGTAGGGACTTAAGATTTTTTATTTCTTAAAAAAAAAGAAAGTTAATATCCTAGCTCTGTCCACAAAAAGGCCTGGAAGCAATGATTAACTCCACAGCATTCTTCACCTGTAGGACTGAGATCAGGAATATTATTTCCAACTGGAAAGAAACAGGGCTCGTTGAAGAAGTGGCTGGTCTCAGGTCTAGGACGGGAAATATAAAAGACACACTCGAGATACCTTGTCCTGCCAGGAAGCAGAGACATTATTGAAAATCACCAGGACTGTGTCAAAAGACACAGGAACCTATTAGAAGGGGCTCCCACTGGCTAAAGATAGTGCATTTGAGCATCAAAAAAGATTGCAGTGGATAGACACATATCTGATGCGGGTTTATAGGACAGTGTGACTCCACAGTGAAAGTCCAAAGAAATGAAAAGAAACGCATCGGTTACCTGGAGACAGTGCTGGGTACTACCTCGTGTTTCTGGAAATGTAGACATAGAAGCTGTGGAGACCGGATGAACCTCTCAAAGACTACTGCCCAGTGGTCATTGTTACACCTTCAACCAAAAGCATCCCCCGAACTTTTCTTGAAATCAAACAAGGGTTTCATAGGCGTCATCGAATGTATTCCGATTCATAGCAAGCCCGCCTACACCTGTATGAACAGCGCTGCCTCGTCCTTTGTCCTCCTCACACACGTTGCTAGGTTGGGGTTCGGGTTGCAGCCACGGTATCAATTCATCTTGCTGGGGGGTCTCTATTCTTTTTCACCGACCCTCTATCAAGCATGATGTCCTTCTCGAGGGGATGGGCCCTCCAGACCAGGTGTCCTGTCTCACCATCCTGGCTGCGAAGGAGCATTGGGACTGAACTTTGTTTGTTTTCTGGTGGCCCGTGGTGCTGTCCGTAGTCTTCACCGGCACAGCAGCTCAAAGGCATCAATTCCTTGACCGTCCTTATCCATTGTTCAGCTTTCACATTAATATCGCTGTGGTTGTTCGGTGACATTGACTCAGTGCCATCCCATAGTGACCCGGTGCACAGCGGAACAAAACACTGCCGATCCTGGTCTCTCCTGGTGGCATGTCCAAAGTCTCACCATCCTTGACGCTAAGGAGCATTCTGGCTGTACTCCTCCCAAGAGAGGTTTGTTTGTGCTTTGGGCCGTCCGTGGTCCTGTCAACAGATTTGACGCATTAAGCGCTAATGGCAGGAGGCCGGATGGACCGTGTGAGGACATCCAGAGCATCCTTCATGAAGAAAGAAAAAGTCCATTAAAAAGACAGGAATGAAAGAGAGGGTCAAAGTGGATGTCAGAAGAGATGCTGAAACTTGCTCTTGATCGTAGAGTAGCTAAGGCAAATAGATAAAATAACGAAGTCAAAGAGCTGAGCGGAAAGTTTCAAAGGGCGGCAGCTCAAGAAGACAAAGTAAAATATTACAATGAAATGTCCGAAGACCAGGAGTCAGAAAACCAAAAAAGAAGAACACACTCAACATATCTTAACCTGAAAGAACACAAGAAAACATAAAATCAAGCTTCCAGTTGCAATATTGAAAGATTCTGTGGGCAAAATACTGAATGATTTGGCAAGTATGAGAAGAAGATGGAACGTACACATAGAGTCATTGTACT